CACATCCCCAACGCCCTGACCCTCCCCCACAACACCAGGTATCCCCAACACCCTGACCCTCTCCCACAACACCACACATCCCCAATGCCCTGCCTGAAACCTGGGCACTTCCATGGCCTTGGCCTCCGGACTCCATGCCTCACTGCAGAGGGACCAGTGCCCTGCTTGGACACCAGCTCCCTGGACCGAGACACAGGCCACCTCAGGAGGAGAACCAGGTGACCACAGGCTCCCCGCCAAGCACCTCCTCTCAGGGGATGTGGTCTCCCCGCCTGCTGAGGGAAGCTGGGCCCGACCACAGTGGGGGCCGGCCTTGCACAGCTGCTTCGACAGCCACAGCAGGACTGAAAACGCAACAGCATGAAAAGCAACATCCCGGCATGGTGTTGCTACAGCCGTAGGCTGCGCACTCCTAACAGCGATGAAGGACGCCATGGCGCAGTGCGTGGCACACGTCGCCCAACAGGAGCGTGAGGTCATCCTGCAGAGCGCTGGCACTACGGGGATGCAAAGCCACATTTCCCCAGCTCTGACGATTTCAACCCATTTGCGCCAACAGGAAAAAACCGATTCTATTTTCTATATACGTATACAAAAACCAAACGTTAACCCCTGGCTCCCTGGCCTGAAGGAGCTGCATGAAAAGACATATTGTATTTTCTATATATGCATACAAAATTCAGACGCAAAGCCTGGCTCCTTGGCTGAAGGGTCTGTGTACAGTCAGCATGTCTGCAGGATGCTAGAACTCTAAACCCCCTTCCCTCCTCCTGCGCCCGCCCTCTGCCCCCCGAGTTTCTCAGTGGAGAGGCACCTAGGGAAGAGGGAGCACACGCACCTGTGATGGGCACGTAGCCAACGCCCTGCTGGTACACCGTTGGCATCAGGACCACGGGCTGGGGTGGCATCACCATGGCAGCTGGCAGCAGCTGAAACACAGCGGAGATGGTTCCAGGGTCAGGGCAGAACACGCCACACACATCAGAACCTCGTGACTTCCAGAATCACCGTCGCCATGCCAGCCCTCAGGCCAGATGTGAGACCTGGGTACACAGTCCCCGGGGGACACCTGGCCCCCACTCCACCTCCTCCCATTCGGGAGGTGACGTCACATGGTGAGACTCACAGACCCCCTCCCCCCCGGCTAACTGGGATGTGACCAAGAGCATGTGGCATCAAGAGGGACATCCCCGTGTAGGCGTCGGGTCGGCCTGGGGGAAGCACACTGGGCTGCTGTCATCTCTGAGTTTATTTCAAATGTGAACTGCAAATAAGTAACTGGAGCGCTACGATGTTTTGTGTTTGTATAAAAGTGTCTATTAAAAAGACACATCATGAGACATTTACGAGGGGTCACTTGTGGTGGGACTTGCTTTAAAATATCCCAGCATTAACAAAAAAGGGGTGGGAGGAGCCAAGACTGCCCAGAAGACAGCTGGGAGCCAGGTGGCTGGCGTGCTGGCCCCACTGCCTGGCATGGCCAGGCCTCGATTTCCCGACCCCGAGGGCAGTGGACCCCGGACTCCCCCCACCCATCTCCACTGAGACACCCTGCCACGTCCTGGTCAGCACCTTGAAACCTGTAAGGCCCAGGGCTATATCTCAGACCGTGGAGGGCTGCCCAGCTGGACCCTAAGAGCAGGGCTTGGGAGGGCCCCCACTGTGGGGGGCCTCCGAGGACACAGACCTGCAGTGGAGACCACCAAACAACCCCAACGCTCTTTTTCCAGACGGAACATGTGGACAGGCCTGGTGGGCGGGGCGGCCCCTCTTGGCCGCCAAACCACCCCAGGGCCCCTGCCCTCTGTCCTCAAAACGCTGACCCTGCTGGTTTACAGGCTTGGCGCCTACAGTAAAAACACCAGGGCGTCCGCTGGGCGGCACGGCCCCGATGTGCCCCAACATACCCTGATACGCTCTGCCCTGCCCTGATGCACCCCACCCTAACGCCAGGCCCGCAGCTCACCGCATAGGACATGACGAGGTTGATCATGCCTTCCTTGTCATCCCCCTGCCTCCCGCTCAGGCTGTACCACTTGTCCTCCACCTTGCCCTGCCGCAGGGACTCAGGGATGGTGATGTGGGTCCAGGCGATGCGGTCGTCCATGGAGAAGGCTCTCTTGGGGAGGCAAGAGGGACAGGCCCAGGGCATCAGAGAAGAGGCTGCCTGCCCTTGTGGCTGCACCATCGTGGGCCCGCCTCGGGTCTCCGACTCACTGGTGGAACTGCACTCCCACAATGAGGCCCTCCAGCAACACAGGCTTCACGATTATCAATGGTACAGGGGACTTCTTCCCTTTCCTGACCAGGATGGGTCAGGGCCAGGTCTGGGGCTGGGCAGAGTGAGAGCCCTGGGCTGCCGTCCTCCTCCAGGTCCAGTTCAGGGACACTGGCTGCTCCTCCCCAGCCCTTGAGGTCCCATCCTTGCTCCACCAGCTGCCACCTCCCAAGCCCCAGAGCAGGTGGGACGCAGGCTGGAGAGGACAGGGGCCTGCCTCTCACAGCCACCTCTGCACCTCCCATGCGCTCTCTACTCTTCTGAGGGCCTGAGGGGGAAAATGGGTGGGGGTGGGAAGAGGAAAGCCCGGAGGAAAAGGCAGGGCCCGGGCAGCGGGGGTGGGGGGCTGGCTGTCTGCTGGCCTGGCTGCCCCACGCTGCTCCCCACCCCAACGCGGGCTCCAGCCTCACAGGGCCACAGGTGCGAGGTGCCAGGATCACACTGAGCGACAGCCTTGCCACATCCCCTCTGACCTTCTGAGTCTCCCTCAGAAACGGTGCAGGTGCAGCCACAGAAGGGACCCAGGACCCTCCAGGGCCACAGCCACCCCCACCACCAAGAACAGCTTTCCCACCCGGCAGGACTCACTGGAGTCCCACTGCTGTGAGCGGCCAGCCCCGGTGCACCCCACGGAGGGCACACATGCCCGCTATCCCTAGAAGGTCAGCGCCTGTCACTAGGGATGTTTCCAAACGTAAGGGCATTCGAGGAGCTGGAAACAGTCTCTCTTCCATATTCCTTAGGGAGAGTGGGACCCTGTCATGCACCCAATAAAACACCAGGTGTGGGGCCACACCTCAAAGCTGGCCAGGAATGCAACAGTGTTGCCAGGCGTGTTCCCAGGGCAGCCACGCTCAGCCACGTGCAGCCTCCGTGACAGCTGGCGCGCCCCTCTCACCTCGTCGAAGATCTCCAGATAGAAGGAGTCCACGCCCGGGGGCACTGTGCAGTGGATGACCTTGTTCCAGCGGGGGCTCTTCGCACCGTTGTGTGCCGTGGGCGTCTCGTATACCGCGTAGCCCAGGCGCAGGCGGCAGTAGGGGTCCATGCGGGTCATACCGTAATTCTTGGCCAGCTTTGCCTGAAACGAAGCCAGTGTCAGGAAAAGGAGGTGCCGACCCTCTCTAGGCCATCTGCTTCCCTGAACCCTTCCACGTGGCCTCTTCCCAACAGACAGAGACTGCAGCCACCCAGAGTCACCTGAACACGGCTGAGACCTGCTTCCCCGGAGGCCAGGAGACACAAGACTGAGCCACAGATGGAATCGTGCAGTTCTGAGATAAAGCTCTCGGCCTGTCCTGGACAGAGATACCTACAACACTCACAGACACAGCGGAGACCGCCATCAGCCACCGTGAAGGGCAGGCTCTCTAATGCCCTCCTCAGAAGTGGCTGAGGGGGAAAAAGGAGGACGTCCAGGACACAGCTGAGAGCCACAGAGCACGAAGGGGAACGTTGGCCACCCCGGGGGCATGAGGACCTGGAGGGGGAGCTGGTGACATCTGCTCCACGGAATTCAGACAACATGTGGCAGCGGTTTCTTCCCTTCACGGAGGCAGCCACCCTGCCTGTGCCTTCGGAGTCTGTGGGGTTTTGGGGACATGTCTCCCCATCACAAGGAGCCACGTCGCATGTGGACCACAAGACCCAAGTTCAGGCTGGTGCTGGGCTGGGCTGGGAGTGAACACGTGTCACAGGTGAATGTGCTATAGGGAATGGATATTGATGGTAAGACAGAAGACTGTGGCAGGTAAGGTGGCTGCCCAGCAGACAGCAACTCAGAGTCTACGACGGGTTCAAATATGAAACCTAGAACTGTAAAACTTTCTCAAGATAAACCAGGAGAAAAGCCCTGGTGAGCTGGGTCTGGTGCAGCCTGCAGCCCTGGCTGCCGGGAAAGTGTCCTCCCTGGAACACAGATGGCCTTCCCGCACCGCTGCCACCTGTTCTCCTGCGGCCAACCCAGCTCGCCCCAGGAGCCGGCAACAGAGACTGCGGGGGCTATCCCAACCCTCCCTCCTGCACACTTCAGGGGTAGCCACATGGGGCCCACTGGGTCTTCCTCCCCACTGCAAGAGTCCAGACACTGTCCCCCGAGCCCTCTGAGGATACGGCCCCCTATCCTCACCAACTCCCCATGAGGGCACGGCCGCCCCATCCTCATGGATGCCCCCGAGGGCACAGCTGCCCCGTCCTGGCTGCACCCCCTCTGAGGGCAGGACCACCCCGTCCGTCCTCCCCACCCCCCACAGCACAGCTGAGCTCTCCCATCCTGTGCCCTCATCTCTGGACTGCCGGGTCCTGTTTTCTGTCCGCGTCCACATACAAGTTCCCTGCTTTCACTTCTAACCAAAGCTGTGGCCAGTGCTTTTATGTCAAAACCGTCCCATTCTTGGGTCCTTAATTTTAAGGTGTTTCTTGGGTAGCCAGAGCGTACTCCGGAATCCTATGGAGTGACAGGTTTTTGGAAGCTCCCGGGCGACAGGCATGCTCAGCCTTTACTGCTTCCAGTTCCACAACCATAAATCCACTCTATCAGCTCTTACACTAAAACTCTGCCCGCCTCAACTCCTTAGAAACTGCCGTTTTCTGGAAAGTATGTAGCAGGAAAGTCTGAGACCAGAGTGACTTTCCAAAGTTTCCAGGTAATCGTGCTGTTTCTGCCTAGCTGCCAACGTTTTTGTCTTTACTGATAACTGTAAAGGCTTTGAGCAAAGCCAGCTTTCTGGGTGGCACGTAGGACTCCCCCGCCAGTATTCTCGTGCCCGTCACTGACGCCTGCTCACACTGGGTCCTGCCATCCTCGTGTCTTCCCGTTGCCCTCTGTGCTGTGGATGGAAAAGCATAGGGGGCATTCTGTGCACCGACTGCTCTGCTGCAGTGGCCTTGCCAATGTTACAGGGGCATCCTCCCATTCGCTGTGACCTCATGCTGTTCTGGTGTGGCAGACACCGTGGGGACACACAGGCACCGCTGCTTCCCCCACAACAGGCAAGAGACGCACACCAGGCACACAGCGCAGCGGACGGTGCCGCCACTGCAGGGGTGACCGGCCAGGGGGACTAAGTGTGTGTGTGTGTGTGTGTGCGCGCGCGCGCGCGCGCAGGAGATGGGGGAGGAGCTAGGGGAGCAGCTGGGGGAGGAGCTGGGGGAGGAGCTGCAGTCAGCGGGAGAATAGCCCAGGGAGCAAGAAAGTCAGGAGTGACCCGGGGTGAGGCAAAAAACAGGCCCCAGTTTGAGACGGCTCAGCAGGACAGTGCCCACAAGAAAGACCTGTGCAGGAAGTGACCTGCTCTGGCCACACTGCAGTGGCTGAGCGGAGGCAGTGGGTGCATGTGGGGACCCCGCCTGGACCGGCTGGAGGTGGCGCCTGTGCTGAGGGTCAGCAGGGATGAACCATGGGGCACCAGGGCTTTGGGCTCAGCTTCCAGAGTGTGGAGCCGCCACCTGCAGATGCTGGGCAGGGGAGGCTGCCTTGAGAGCTCACCTTGGGCACATGGAGTCTGGCATGCCCACTGGACACCAGGGAGGCCATGTGGCCGCGGTCCGTACCCAGGAATATGAAGCAGAGCTGAGCGGCCAGCTCAGGCAGGGGCCAGCACATGGGTATTTAGATCCACAGGGACGCAGCATCGCCCTGGGGTGTGTGGGCAGAGGGGAGAGTGGGCTGAGGACCAGACCCCTTGGTGTCCCGTTGCAGGCCCAGGAGACGACCAGGGGAAGCAGCCAGGAGAGGCCAACGGAACCACACGTGTGGCCTCCCAGGAGCCCAGAGAAGCAGGGAACAGTGGGCTGAGTGACGTGGCCCAGTAAGGAGGCAGGAATGTTCCCACTTCTGGAGGGGCTCACAGATAGCTGGGTGAGCTTTCATGGAGGGAGCTGTTCCCACCGCCGGAGCTGCCCACGACAGCTGGGTGAGCTCACGTGGAGGGAGAAGACAGGCTGCCTGTGGTGGGCTCCAGGGTGCGACGGGGAACCAAGGTGGACCAGAGGCGTGGGCAATGCCAGGGCCACCTCCAAGGCCCAGCCAGCCCTGGGGCTTGACCTGTGTGAGGCGGAGTGCCCTGTGGTCACCAGGCCCTGCCAGGAGGTGGCAGCTGAATGCGGGTGATGGCACCTGGTGGCCTGGTGGCAGCTGGGGCTTGTAGGAGTTCACTGGATGGGCAGACGGATGTGCCATACCAGCACAGAAATGCCTGCACCGGCAAGGGTGGAAGAGGCGCTGTGAGGAAGGGCGTGAGGCTGCAGACCCGAACACTGATGGCGCAGCCAGGCCCGCCACACCATTCAGTCCCCGAAAGCAAGTCTTACTTGTGAGGTCCACAGAGACACTTCCGCCTGCTCTATTGTGGGTCCCTACAAAAGCCTGTGTGGCCCTAAATGCGGTTCCTTTTCCTGCGGTCTTACAGAATGTTTTGGTGTGATCAAGATCAGTGTTCAATCTGCCCATGGATTTTGGTTTTCACTTGAAAGTCCACTGAGTGACCACTGGCCGCGTCCTGGCGGCAGGTGCCCATCTCTGAGGCTGACGGAGAGCTGCTCTGTGGGGAGGGGAAGGTGCAGGCACCTGGTGGAGAGGCCGGGTCCCACACAGAGCGCACGCCCACTACACCCCCACTTGGCATTTTAGTTATGTTTGGCAGAGCCAGGGCCATTGCCAATATTTTTCATGTGTATCATTTTTCACATCACACACGTTTCACAGGAAAACCTGGAATCAGAAGCTCCATTTGCCCACTTAGGAAATGCAGCATAAACACCGAAACCCTCAGTCCCACCCCACCTGCACACACCAGCCCCGGGCAGGCAGGGGGTGCCCAAGGCCCACCTGGACCACGGTGATGTTGAGCCGGCCCACGGTGCCCACGGCGCCTCCGTACTGCAGCTGCTGGGCCGCCTGCGCATCCAGCTGGACCTGCCGCTGCTGCTGAGTGGGTGTGATGCGGAGGAAGTCCTGAGGGAGCTCACCGATGTACACCTGCAGGGTAGGGGTCAGAGAGGCCACGGAGTCAGGGCGGGGGCACCACGCAACCCGACCACAGCTTTCCCACTGCATTCCTGAGAACCAGCTCTCCCCAGGGGCTCCATCTGTGCCCTCATCCCCACCCACTTCCTAGTCCAGTCCTGGACTGTGCTCAGCCTCAGTTTCTTCATCACCAAACCAAGGGGTCAAGGATGTTAGCCGGGGCCCGCCCCTACCCTGGCCCTCACCATGAGACCCCAGAAGTGCAGGTGCGGCCCCTCACTCAGGTGATCCCCACAGGAGATCCCACTCAGAGGCTCCTAACAGTTTCTGCCACCAAAAACGGGTTGCATCCTCAAAGCCTGGGCAGGTGGGTTTTCAGGTCATTTTAAAGGGTCTCACTTGTGCCACGTGTGCCCATGACTTCTTTCTCCTTGTCCACACTAAAGGCAGGCCAGCTGAGCCTCAGGTCTAAGTTATTTGGAAACCCCTCTGCCGATACACTTCAAACGCTTCTACATGTAATAGCTGAAATTCAAAAGCACCATAGAAGAAAACAGGAAGCAAATCGATTCAAAACCACCATGAAAGCCCTCCCCACTCTGCATCCTGTGTCTCCTCAGCCCTCTGCTCACTGCTGCTGCCCCGAGGTGAGAGAGGGTGGGCCTGGGCAGGGCAATGCCATCCCGAAACCACCCGCACGCCTGCAGCGGCCGAAGGCGTCTGGGGGTAAGAAACACCCTCCACAGTGGTGGTGGCTAACAAGCCGAGGGCAGGCCTGGCTGCTGGTGGAGAAGAGACACCAGCGAGGACACCCGGCCGCCTGCAGGGCCCGGCCAGCACCAGCGCCCTGGGCAGTGGTTTTCAGGAAACATCCAGCGTACACCTGGAAGCCCAGGTGTGTGGGACGTGAGCTCAGACAAAATGCGCGTGCTGAGGCCGTCAGGACGCCTCTGCCGTGCAGACCAGGCACCCGTCCCCGCCTGTGCCATGGACTCCCAATGACCCGGTGCAGGCAGGGCACCGGGGATTCTGAATTAAGCCCTGCACCTGCTGTGCTTTGCTGCCTTGCATTTCAAAGGACCCAAGAGGGTCCTCACCTGATCCCCATCTCAAGCCTGGATAGCACAAGCCAGTCAGCGATCCACAGCCAATGGCAGCAAAAAGGGACCCAGCCGCGCTGGGCACTGCTTGGAGGGTTAGGGACTCAGGACACTCACTTCTCCAAAGGCTGCACCCCAACCTGAGCAGCTGGCTTGGTATGCGTTTGACCGCTCTTTTCTAAAGAGCAAAACATACTTCGTGTCTTTCCGCACGCTTTATCCTGTTTTTGACAGGGGCACGTCACAAGTGGCCTTTGCCCCATGAGAGGAGCCGTCCGTGTGAGGACAGCAGAGCACCCAGCTTCACCTCTGGAGGGTGTGGCACAGGCCAGGGCCTGCACAGGTAGGACCCACTGTCCTTATGGACAAAGAGGGTGCAGAGGTCCCTGAGGGGAGCAGGCCCCTGCCAGGCCAGTAGCTACCAAGAGTCCCAGGCCAGCCTCCCCCGGGCAGCATGTCCTGAGGCGCTGCACAGGTTACCAGCAAGTCCTGAGGAGGACGCTGAGAGGTCCCATGGTATAGATGGCAAACCCCTGTTCCTGTAGGTGTACGGGAGGCGCCGGGGTGAAGCCCTGTTCCTGTAGGTGTACGGGAGGCGCCGGGGTGAAGCCC